TTTCCATCTTAAATTCTTTGAATTTCTCAAAGCATTCAGACTTACGGCGCAACAGATAAATACATCCATATTTTGAGTAATCATATGTGAAAGTCACAAAATACTCAAAACCACCTCTTGCTTGTATATTCATAGGACCACACAAATCAGAGTGAATTAATTCTAGCTTATCACAGGCTCTATTCCCTTTTGAGGGAAAATGTCTCTTGGTCATTTTACCTTCTAAACAGGATTCGCATGTTGGTAGTGATTCCACTTTCAATGAACTCAAAGGTCCATCAGAGACCAATCTCGAAATCCTATTTAGATTTATATGGCCTAGACGTAAGTGCCATAAATAAGTCTGACTCAATTCAGAAATACATTTTCTTTTATGTGGTAGATTAATGTTATTTAGTTCTTTTGGTTGTTGTAGCACAGGGGGAGATATATCAAGAACAAAAAGGTCATGTACTCTAGCAGCTTTGTAGATAAAACGTCTATGAAACTTAATAACAGCAGAGTTATTAGCAAAATAAACATTATAACCAGCATCCATTATTTTCGCATTCGAAATCAAATTCCTTCTAATGGAAGGTACATAGAGAACATCTTTTAAAACTAAAACTCTATCACTACTAAACGAAACACTAATATCTCCTAAAGCTAAAGCTGGTGCTGGCTCACCATTGGCTTGATAAACGCAAACTTCATTCTCACTTAGCCGCCGCGTTTCCTGAAACCCCTGCAAAGAATTGCAGATGTGATTAGTGGCTCCCGAATCTACACACCAAAACATGGTAGAAACAGCTGCTAAACAAGTTTCAACGACATTTAAATTTGAATTACCTTGCTTATTCAACTTTGCCAGATAGGCGGGGCATTGCTTCTTGTGATGCCCGGGTTGCTTGCAATTATAGCACTTGCCTTTGGGCTTGTTCACGCCAGCCGCACCACCAGGTGCCAGAACCTTTTGAGCCTTCTTCTTTTTCTTATTGCCTTTCGACTTAGAAATTGAAGGTTTCTCAACATTCAGTGCCACAACTGGAGCTTGTTGTTTGATAATAGATTCTGACGCTTGCAGCTCATTCAACAATTTCGCTAGTGACAAATCCATTTTGTTCATATTATAGTTCAAGCGAAACTGTTGAAAACTGTCAGGCAGAGTCTGCAGGACCATCTCAACTTAAGACTCCTTATCAATCACAGCTCCAAGGACCTCCAGTTCATTCAGAAGACTCATCATCTTCAGAACATGGTCCCTGACAGATGATCCTTCAGCCATTTTGTGTTCAAAAGGGCTTTCATGGCTGTCTGCATAGCTGCACGATTTTGCTCACCGAACATCTCTTTGAGACTTTCGAGCATATCATAAGCAGACCCCATGGACTGATGCTGATGTTGCAAAACATTCGCCATAGAGGAAAGAATGTAACATCGCGCTATCTCATCAGCCTTAACCATTTGTCATAGGCCTTAACCTGATCATCCGTAGCATTTTCAGGTTTTTCTGGGCACTCCTCAGAGACTACAAATTTGTAACCTTCAGCAGTTAGGACAATATCAAGGTTCCTTTTCCAGTCAACATAATTTGGTCCTTCTAACTTGTTTTGGTTCAAAATTGAGGTAAGTGGTTTCAATGAAGACATGGTTAACCTGGGAGATATTCACATTAAATAGATCATTAGTTATGTATTAAGAATGGTTAAATTCAAAATTGCACATTACACATATAACCATGCTCATTGAACAGTTAGATTAGTTAGGGAAACTTAACTATTCATGCAAAATATATGAGTGATGTCAGATATTAACCCCATAAATTTAAACAGGACCAACTCAGATGGAGAGTAAACTGTTAATTTAAGATAGGTAAATATCACTTTTATAAAACACTAGTTTCATTCAATCAACATGTAACTCAGTTGGAGAGTTAATACAAGTAATGAAATAACTAGAGGATAAAGAAAAACACAGTAATTATCTATAATGAATTTATCCGATGTGGAAGAAGACCTATGTCAACATATAAATTCATTATATTACTGTAGAACCCGTTTAATTTAGGGTTTAGGGCCTAAAATCGCGTATTCTGCAATTTAGGGTCTGAAGGTTGCATGTACTGTCGCGGTCCTACCGCGGTTACGCCAAGACCACGGCTAGTGCTACCTTCAGAATCAGAGGTAGTGTTCTGCCGCGGTCCTACCGCGGTTACGCCCGGACCGCGGCCATACAATACGAGATTTCATAAAAAACGTGTTTTGAGAAGATTAATCTAAAAGTTCTGTATTTTAATCCAAGATTACAGAATATTATTCAAAACATTCACGTTTTTAACATAGAATAATTATCCGAAACATGTATCAATGAATAACACGTTTTAATATTACTCTATGCATGTTGTATTACATTATCTAGTTAGATGTAAGACGGCGTCTGATACCAATTGTTAGAACATGCGCAGCGGAAGCAAGCATACAATCAGGCATCAATTACATGTAAACTAGACAACGCAATAATAACGAGATCAGGAACACTAACCTCTTGAAATAGTTGCACAAATTCTCCAAGCAGCAAGAATCCAGGGCTGTAGTCTTCTGCTATATGCCTAGTAAAACCTTGAACACTTTTGCTTTTGGGTGGGCAAGAACAATACAACTCTAGGGTAGTTAACCGGAGAAACCTGTCTCCTTTTTATACGCGAAATTAAGCCCTAAAAATAGGCTCAAAAACGTGTGGAGTAGGATTCCATAAGTAGAATCCTACTCCAACTCAAAAAGGTAACTTTTCTCCCAAGCTACTTTTTATCCAAGTTTGTCCAGGTTATTACAAGGTATAGCAGGGACCACAGAAATAATAAGAGGCTACTAATTATAGTACTAATTTGAAGTAGGCAAGAATTAGATCCTACTATAATTAATTGCAATTTATTCCACTAAAAAACTGCAATTGAACTCCTCAATATGAATTTCAAAAATTCATCAACACTTATTTTAACTCCCCATGTTAAGATTTCAAATACCAGTTAATTAAATTAAATCACTAAAAATTTAATTCAATCAACTAATTAAATCCTTTATAATTCCGCTTATACTATCTCATGTGACGGATACAAAATCCACCGGCCGGGTTTTCACATGAAAACTTATAAGCTTGTATAAATGGGTATTATCAAACCCAAAAACCAAGTCATGGATTATATCAACTAATCATTATTCACAAATATTATTTGTTATTGTCCAATTTATTAGGCATATACTAACTCTAAATAGAGTCGTACCTTTTGATAAATCAAAATAATAAATAAATTACATTGATCATAATAATTATATCAAGATTAGGAGTATAAGCTCATTTATTGAATTAGAGAAAGTGTTTTATATGTATTCAGTACAAAAATACCTTTTCTCTACTTGGTCCGTTCAATATACACTGAGTATACTAGCACAAGAAGTTGGAGTAGACTTACTCCCATAATCAAGACAAATTATACAATAATCTTGTGCTACAATCATCAAGATATTTTGTCCGATAATATCTTCGTTTGTGAAAAATAGTTTAATTAATTATGTAGAACCAACAATTTAA